TATGGGGATTTGTAGTTGAAGTAGTAGATAGAGAACCAAGAACATTTCGTTTCTTAGCTATTATGGAGAAAAAAGAAGATTTGCCTTTAGAAGTTGTACTAGAGATTGGAGAAGAAGACATATTTTCATTGTTACCATATTTAAAATTTGTTTTATTTAAAAAATTTTTTTTTTTTAACGGGTCGCGGGTTAACCGCGGCCCATGGGGGTGAAACCTGCGGGTTACACCTCTTTGGCCTGTGAACCGCCCGCACAGATCACGGGTCGGGCCGCGGTCCCGATTTTCACTGGCCGATTTTCACGGGTCTAATCGACCCGTTCGTCTTGACACCTCTATAGAGAGTTTCTACTTTCTAAGCAAAAGCTAGATTACATTAATCAAAAACCTACTAGCAAAAAACAACAAAACTAAGTAAAACCAATTTCAAGAAAATCAAATACCACCCAATAACATATCTTGCACTGTAATTAGCCTACCATTAAATTGCAAGAAAACAATTTTCCAGAAAATAATAAAATTTCATATGGAATGATCTGCATTACCTGAAACTCATATGTGATGAGCTGAAAGCAGTGATTCTTGATAAAACAGAGGACTTAAATCAGAGAATTTTTATAGTTGTTTTTGTACGGCGGATAAATCTACGAGTGAAGGCAAAAGCATTTATTTTGAAAAGTCATGATACAATTGTTTTACCAAATAGTTGAATAAGTCAATTGAACATAGAATTTCAAACCATATTTGCATTCTTTTCCATAGGGAATAGAAGCATCCAATTTGAATTTGTCAATGTCAAAGTCTTGACTCAAACGATATATTTGATAAGTATTTATAAACGACTCGAATAAAAAAAATTAAATAGATAATACTTGTGAATTTCTCACAACGTATGAATAAATAGTATCCTGAATGTTTATAAATAGTTAACAAACATAAACCAAACATAAAATACTTATACTCATGTAACATGTCTACCTAAATTAGAGCATGTTTGACCAAGTTTAAAATTCAATTAAAATTGAAAATATAATCGTTATTGGGTCCCACTAATCTAATAAAAATCAACAATAACGACTAATTTTTCAATTTTAATCCGATTTTAATCTCTACCAAACAAGCCTTAAAGGTTAGAGATCAATTTCTATACCCGTCTAAAGGACCATGCCCATGTCTATTTCGATATAATATCTCAGTGACTCACTTAGATTAAATTTTTTTCTATAAATCAATATAATTACTAATCAAATATCGTGTTTTCAAAAAGTTGATAAAAGTTGTATGTCATGAAATAATGGATCAAAATGAGTTGGAGAAAAAATAAATTTTGAAAAATGGGGCGAAACATATATTTTTCGTAGAAGAACCAAGTTGTTTGAAGTTATAAATGAATAAATAATAAATTAGAGTATGAAAATAATGAATTAACGTAAAATAATAAGAAGAAAACTTAGGTAAATATGCTCTAATATTCTCTTTGGAAAAGTCTAAACAGATATTTTCCACGAGACATTTTAACTAAAAAATGACACAATATTGCATTCTACCTCTGTTTGATCCCCTTTTTTTAAATAATTACTAAATTTCAAACAAATATTCTTCTAATAAAATAATTTTACACGTAAATTCAAAAATTCTCAAAAAAATCAATATTACAGAATACATTCTCAATAAAAATAGAACACAAACACACCCTCAATAATAAAGAACGACTATGAAAAAAAAAAAAAAGCTAGCATGTAAAAATCATATTCTAACATGCTCGAAAATCTCTGAAATTGAAAAAAAAGTTGCATATTAAATCACTGAATAATAATAATAATAATAAAAAGAATTACTTAAAAATCATAAACAATTAATGAATGAGCATGCAAAAGTAAATAAGAACCTTAAAAATCTCAAATTCACAAGTATTTATTGAATAAAAATTCATGAAATTCCTCAATAAAAACATCAAAATAAAAATAATATGCTCCCTGAAAAATTGGACTTCCAATGTTGATTGGCTGTAGAATGAAATTGAAATAGGAGACAAAATATAAACGCCAAAATATGAAATATGAACTCTACATTTGATATTAAGATGTAAAATTCTAATATTTTGTAGGTTTTAAGAAGGAATAGTGCGAAATTTTATCACAATAATATGGAATAAGTCAAAAATTAACTTTGAACTTGCATATTTTGGTAGCGTTTTATTCTGAGTTTTTTTAAATTTTTATCTTTCTAGGTTTGGAATTTGAGTTTGCGGACGACGGATTGTTATTCTGTTTACGTCGTTATGTAATTTTGTTTAAGGGAATTTTGCTAAAGTCCCCTTAAAAGAATTTGCATATTCAATGAAATATCATTAGACATTTCACATACATCAAGATTTTATTGATTTATGTACTATTTATCGCTCTTTGATCTTAAGAATGAGCTATTGTCCTCCTTGGACTCTTCTTGCCTAATATAATAAAAGATTGAAAACATGTTTCGCTTATCGAACAAAGTTCTATAGTCGGTGTATGAACATTTGATGCCAAATGCACCCTTTGGATAATCTCATAATTCTTGTAGGATGGAGATGACGTATTTCTATGGGCCTTCCTTCATTTTCTTTTGTTGCGTCTCGTTCATAGATAAATGTGAGATTGAATTAAACGATTCGTAAATGCTAACTTGACGAGGGATTTCAAAGAGAGCCACCAACTTCAATTATCGTCCATGTACTATAACAAATCCGACTGATTGCCCTTCTTACCTCTCGACATTCTTGACAACTCATGTTAGTGCACATTTGAAAAACAATCTTATTCTCAAAGTATAATAAATAAATTAATTTTCACCTTTTTAATGTTGTTCTACAATAATCACACAGTTGAAGTTGGGTAGTCGAACCTTTACCTGATCTTGAATGGAAAAGCGCATTTTATAAGTCACGACTCCAGGCATAGGTCAAGAAAGAAGGCCTGAAGCCAAACAGAGGCTGAGCATTAGTAGAAGAAAGATGGAGCAGGCGGCGAACTTGTTGCAGAGGGCGGCGAACAGCAACGCCGTTATAAACACTCTTCTGGCGGGCATCTTCGCTGTGTTGAGTGTACGATCGGTGGAGCAGCAGCGTCAAATCGAGGCATTGGAGGCGGAGAAGGACTCGCTCGTCAAAGCAAACAAGGGTTTGAAGAAAACAGTTTGGGATTGGAAGCAGCAGCTGTTTTATGAGGCCGAGGCGAATCCGCAAAATGCTGTCGTTCCTCTCTCCACCCTCAAGGTCATCTATGGCGAAGCCACACCCGCCGCCCCTGTCATTGCTGGTAATTTCGTTTTTAGCATTTTTTTGGGTGCGTTCTTCGTGTATGTGAAACCGAAATGGTGATTGGAGTGCTGTATCATGGTAATTTCAATTTTAGCATCCTAATGGTCAATGGTGAAGGAAGGATTGCATTTGAGAGTTAGCATTAAGGATTGTACTTTTGGCTTTGATGGTTGTACAATTGGCATTAAGTTGCTAGGAAGAAAGAAGTAGGCTCTTGTGTCCAACTTGAGAAATTTACATGTGAAACATTCACAATCATACTCACTCGGAAGCTAACTGAACCTATATAGTTTTCTTCATAATATATTGCTCCATTAAATCAATTTCTTACAACTAATTAAATAAACTTGCTGCATAGACTTGCGTATGCAATAATCCTCTCTGTCGCACCTGGTTATGCATGAGAATGTCAAGAACTTTTAAGCCTGGTGTATTTCCAATTTTAGTGTGGTACCAACGATATGTTGTAGAGCCACAAAATTGACTCTCAAAATTCTAAATTTGGCTCAAAATCTTTGAGAGTTCCAAATGTTTTTATGTATGTACTTATGCAGTTTGTGTGCGCCTCTTTATCATTCAAACCATGACATTTAGCCACAAAAGCATTCAGGACTCCTCTTGTTTACTTTGTTCCACATCCGATGAGAATAATGGTGTTTTTGTAATGTTTTCTGCTTTTTCAGCCAGTAGCACTTTTAATCAAGAAAAAGCTTTGTATGACATGAAAAAAGTAGTGGTTCTAAATATGGGTACCATAATAAGACTATAATGGATAGGACCATGAGTAGGTAAGACAGCCCCAAACACCTAGTTGTTTTGAGGGTTTAGAATGTGTGCTGTGTGGAAATGAAAGGGTCTCCTTTCATTCTATTTGTTGTTATGGTCTGGTAAATTCATTCCTTATCGTAGGAAATCTTGGATGGATTTGTGAACTAGGTTTTGATTCTGTTTATGCATTATATACTGTCTGCATCCTTTTATTCAGTTTACACTTTAATTTATAGAGAAAAGACCGCCTGAAAAACCTATAAAAAAAGTGGTGAAGAAAATCTCAAAACCACATAACTGTAGACTTACAATTTGGAGCCTGTGATACTCTTTTATCATATAATCCCCCATGCGTATATCTTGTGTTTAGCTGGTGGAGTAAATAATAAATTAGCTAACTGTTTGAGTTCCCACCTTTCTCCATTCCATAAAAACTTCCATTTCCCTTTCTGTTTTTATTTTTGGCTGGAAAATCGTTTACTATTTTTAATTTTATGCTCAAACTGATATAGCTGCAAGATATCCTAAAACCTCAGGAACTTCTATTATTTATGTGTAATGAAATGGTAGAATATACCATGCTCTAAACAGTTTCAACAATAAATCAATCTAGGGAATTTATTTTTCAAACGTGCTCTTCATTTAAATTCTTTTGTAAAAATCACAAGGTGAAGACTAGCAAATATTTAGCCTTAGATCTCACTCTGAATATTGGGATTAGATTGTTGCATCTTTTATCGTGGAAGTCTGTAACTCACAGTGGCCAGTTAGGTTGTTGAGGTCCAGTTTTCCTCAAATGCATTATATCCTATGCAATGTCTCTCGGATCTAGCTGTCACTTCTGAGAACTTATCAGACAGATACTTTTGTGTGTTTTTGTTTTCCCATAAACATTTTAAATGAAATGTCTTCCTTTCCCTACGAGCTATATTTGTCGTCAAGTAATCGCTTCAGAATTTTCGGGTCTATGTTACCATCTCTACTAATTTGTGCACGAGTTTCTCAGACTTTGATTCTTGCATGCAGGTGGAGCTGGTAAGGGAGACGGGAAGTCACCTGCATCAAAGATTATGATCTGAAAGGTGTGTTGTAGTCTTTGTAATTATCCAGAAACAGGATTTACGGTTAGGAAGAAACCAAAAAAACCAAAAAATGACATTGGCTTCCAAGTGAAAAGTTAGTGTAGTAGGCATCAAACTAGAAAAAATTGGAATTTGAGAACATGTTCTTTTTGTCTGTTTCTATGAAGAACTAAATAAATTACCACTGTTCTTTTTGCCTTTTGGTTTTTGAATATCAAGTTTTTTTCCTGCCAAATTACTTTATGCCTTTCTTGAATTTAGTGGAAGGTCGACTGAAATGCTGCTTCTATGGCTTTCAGAGATAACCCTCTATTGCTAGAGGAGATCATTTAGCTTAATAAATAACATTGAAGTATTTTGGGTTTTTAATTCGTTGACGTGGCCTTGATTCACTGGCTGTACATGTATATAACGCTCCTGTTTGGTAGGGATTAAAATCACATTTTTATTTGATTTTGATAAAGTTGATGAAATGTGTATTTGAAAAGTTGTGATTTCTATAAAATGTGTGATTAAAATTAGTTGTTGACTAAATTAATTTGAAAGCTACTTTTTGGAGGTTTGTTGAATTGACTAAATCAGCAACTTGTGGCTTTCTTACCAGATTATAGTCCTTAAAATCAACCTTGTAAATATGCGAATTTGAATATGATGTTTGATAAATGTTCACTTTTCTTACTGCTAGAGTTTTAAGTTGAGGTGTAAACCCTCATTTCTTCAATTTTAGCCATAGTAGAGGTTACCAAATGGGTCGAGCAGTTTAGCTCATCTCCCTACCGCTAGGTCCTTGGAGACCCTACCACCACCATCCTCACCGTCGCTGCCATATCCGATACTAAAACCACAAGCACCACTGATCTACTCACCCCACCAACACCGTCCAATCACCTCTACCACCTAAGCGGGATAGTCACCATGACCGAGGCTAACACTACCAAGGCTGTGCCGGTTCCATTTCCGTTGTCCAACTCGACACCAAAACCACAAACATCACCTATCTACTCACCCCGCCACCAGTTTTCTCCCCACCACAACCTGTCCAGTCACCTCCACCACCTAATCAGAGAAATCGTAGAAGAAGATCGTCGCAGGAGGGAGAGAGAGAGAGAGAGAGAGAGAGAGAGAGAAGTGATGGAGAAATAAATTA